TCTCTAATGCCATCTTTTCTCATGCTCCCCTTCATTAGGTGATGGGGACCCAATCTCTTCTTTAAACTAGATCTGCTTTTTCCAGCCTCTGCTTAGAATGCACTTGGTATTCATTCTCTCCCTAGCTAGCTTCTATTATAGGTCAAAGCTGAAAGGCCTCTTTAAACGATCTCCCAATCTAAATATGGACCATGTATGTTTGATGCATCATTGTGTACCTGAGCCTAACCTAAGGAGTTCATTAAATAAATCTATAATGCATGAAATGGAGGGAATTCCAGCTGCCTCTCGGGTGTGCTAAACTACAACATAGATTGGAGTCCCAATTTTCTCTACCACCAAACTCAGTAACTCATTTGATTATTTGTTAGTCCTTGTTCATTTATGAAAGAGAGAAGTGTCACATCCCTCAAGCACAGAAGAAAAATATTGCATTTTTGATAGTTTAAGCCTCAGATGGCTAACATTTTAACCTACAAAAGGCCCCACCCTTGAGATCCAGTGCATATGGAAGCAGCGGGAAGTATGAGGAAACATCACCACAGTATTTCATTGTTTATTGAGTGGAATGTGGCAGGCTTTCTGCCATACCTTTTACATGCATTATCTATAATCTGACAACTATCCTGAACAGAGCTCTTATAGCCCCCATTTACAAAGGAGAAAAGTAAACTCTGAGAGATGATTTGCCCACAATCACAGAGCTAGTTGGCAAGAAGAATGGATGGTGCAAGGTCTTTAAAAAATCCACAACTTGCCCAATATAATCTCTGTGAAATTAGAAAACTGGGATGGAATTCCCACCTCTATGGATATTTCCCATAATGGTGGAAATGACATTTACCAATTATCAGCTTATTTTATAAGAACCATAAATGTGTTTTGAATAATAAAGAATACCATTCAGAAATAAACACTTTCTGATCCTACACTTCTGGTTGGAGGACTTCAGGGTTAAAAAAAACTAAAACCAAGTTAACATAAATTGACAAATAGAATGTCTCTGACCCAAATAATAAAAAATAGCCCTTGTCCCACATACTTAGGAAATATATGTGGCTCCCTGGTATGCATCAGAGCCTGTAGGCTGGGTGAGTAAATATTTAAGTGTGCATAAACATAACAGTGGCTTCTTTGGGAATTGTAAGTGCGCTGAAACCATAAACATTCAAGGAGATGCAGCTCTGTAAAGGAGAGAGATCCAAGTTGGCATGGCATGAAGCAGGAGGCTTCTTCAGCCTGCACATCCTAAGAATCCTGGAAAGGAGATATTGTGGAAAAAAACGAGGAGACCTGCCAGGTAACTGACTTGGAATATACAGATAAATTCCTTTCTTTATGAGCCTTAAGCTGAAGGTTTAAATACCACAAATTCTTAGAAAGAAATACCACATTCCCGTTAGAGAGGAAGATCTTTCTGTAAGAATTAAGAGAAAGAGAACTACTTTATGTAATAGTCTTATATATTTTATTTATTCCATATAACTTGCTGAAGGTGAAATTATTTCTCACTTACAAGTGAGGGAACTGTGGTCTAGATGGCTTAATTAATTTATCCATAATTGTACAACTTGTAATGGGGCTGGGATTTGAACCTAAACTTTTTGACTTCAGACACCTTTTCCTCTGGCAGTCAACTGTTTCGCATGGCTAGAAGAAGACATATGGGTTTATCTTATGGGGAAAATTACAGGATCACAAGATTCTGTGGTTGAAAGACATATGATTTAGGTATCATGTCATATTCATCTTTAGACACCTTGCAGAGCCTAATATATCATAAGTACTCAATGAAGGCTGGCTGGCTGAATCCCCTTATACCTGGGCTATTCCAATTCCTGTCTTTTCCATAATGAGAGACTATCTCCCAGAGAACAGCAGGCAGTAGCCAATAGTGTGATATTGTATCTCCATCCTCCAGGCAAACGAAAATGAGAAGAAAAGGCTCTTTTAATAATCTGTCACTAATTTTTGAACTACTTCAGGAAGTTAAATACATGTGTAGATTATTATAGCTGTTTTGGCCCTGTGAAGGCATCTCACCACTTGATTTAAGGAGGTGAGATATCCCTGATTTGCAGATGCTTCGGCGCACTAAGTGTAGGGAGTTCTTGTTATTTTAAGGTGCTCCATCTCACTTTCTGCTCTCACCTTTTTTGCAAAGTCCCATATCTAGCATTAGTGCTGGGAAGCTAGTTCTCTTCCCTCTTTAACTCAATTTAATTCTTGCCAAAGAATTAATCTCTTTCCTCTTTAACACAGATTTAATTCTTGCCAAAGCCAGCCCCAAGCTGCCTGACCAATTCTGAAGCCGTCCAAGGTGGACTGCATGTAAGTGGCACCACCCAGGCTGAGGGATCCTCCAGTGCGATTTGGTCAATATTTTTTTCCTAGTCTTGGCATTGTCTAATACAGATGAGGGAAAGGACAGGAACCAAGGCCATCGTTAGAAGATCTCCATCCTCACACTGGCCTCTGCTCCCTGTTGGTAAGCCGGGTGGCAGATCCTGGGGACAGGCTGGCCTCACTGTGCCCGTGCTTGCTCTTGCATGGTCACTTATTGCTTTCTCTCTGACTCCACATGTCCTCGTCATCCTTCTTTCTCCCAGGAGCCTCTGTTTCCTTGCTTGGAATTTGTGTCTGATTCCTGTAGATTTTAGATTATTCTCTCTAGGCCAAAGAGAGTCTTATTTCACAGTTTTTCCAGGAGTGAATTTTTGATTCTGCTCTGGAAGTACTTGAGGAAGGTAATGAATCGCATCTCTCAGTCTTTTTTCTCTTAAAAGTTTCCAAGTCATCAATCTGGGATGCTGTAATTAGTCATTCTTCTTAGTTACTAAGTGGACACTGATATTTGCAAGTAGTAAGTTCATCACATGGCAAAGCCCGTGGGCCAAGTGACGTGAGAACTAATCACATGGCTCTAAACAGCCTCAGCAGCCCAGCTGCCATTTGCTGCTGGACCCTGAGCAGGGGGAGCACATGGCCACAGCTAGAGCTGGCAGGAGTTGGGGTGCTGGTCAGGAATCCTTTCACCATCAAATTCAGGGAAGGAACATATGGAAAAGAGGTATTAAAAAAGCAAATCACTTTTCCAATTCTGGTTAAAGGTAGAGGCTGGAATGTCTTATGGAAAAATGAGAAGGGTCTGTGGGGACTGATGGGCAGTGGGGGGAGGGTGGCTGCCCCACGCAGCCTGACGGCTGTTTGAGCAGAGCAAAAAATAGGCACTACCAGTGTGGAGACACCATGAGGGAGGGCAGGAGAGGCCATTTGGACACGGGCTCAGCAGTAGAATGGCATCCATGTCTAGGAAAGATATCACAACAGTGACCAGAAAAAAGCAGGGGCAAGCCCCTTATGCATTGATCTACATATGTGAATTAATACCCAAAATAGAAGCAATTGGAATCCACAACCAATAAGACCACTCTTAAGGGGTTCGATGTTCTGTTAACAAAGCACCCTGCCCGGCTGTTCAGGCCGGAAACGTGGCACTCAGCTTCCGTCTCCCCCTCATCGGCCCAGATCCATACAGCAGCAGGCGCTCTCAGCCCTTCCTCCAGCCAAGGCCAAGCCAGCTGATCTCTCAGCACCTTCCAACTGGTCTCCTGCTTTCTTTCCTAACTTCCGTGACCCCCTCATCCTTCCCACACCAACTCCAATTCATTCTCTACACAGCAGCTAGAATGCCATCCCAAAATCCTGAACCTCAGCAGATCGTTGCCCTGTTAACGCTCACACAGTGGTCACCATTGCATCCCAGATGATATACTGAACTTGTAACATGACCACAAGACCCGGAGCTCCTGCTCCATCACCTCTCTAATGCCATCTTTTCTCATGCTCCCCTTCATTAGGTGATGGGGACCCAATCTCTTCTTTAAACTAGATCTGCTTTTTCCAGCCTCTGCTTAGAATGCACTTGGTATTCATTCTCTCCCTAGCTAGCTTCTATTATAGGTCAAAGCTGAAAGGCCTCTTTAAACGATCTCCCAATCTAAATATGGACCATGTATGTTTGATGCATCATTGTGTACCTGAGCCTAACCTAAGGAGTTCATTAAATAAATCTATAATGCATGAAATGGAGGGAATTCCAGCTGCCTCTCGGGTGTGCTAAACTACAACATAGATTGGAGTCCCAATTTTCTCTACCACCAAACTCAGTAACTCATTTGATTATTTGTTAGTCCTTGTTCATTTATGAAAGAGAGAAGTGTCACATCCCTCAAGCACAGAAGAAAAATATTGCATTTTTGATAGTTTAAGCCTCAGATGGCTAACATTTTAACCTACAAAAGGCCCCACCCTTGAGATCCAGTGCATATGGAAGCAGCGGGAAGTATGAGGAAACATCACCACAGTATTTCATTGTTTATTGAGTGGAATGTGGCAGGCTTTCTGCCATACCTTTTACATGCATTATCTATAATCTGACAACTATCCTGAACAGAGCTCTTATAGCCCCCATTTACAAAGGAGAAAAGTAAACTCTGAGAGATGATTTGCCCACAATCACAGAGCTAGTTGGCAAGAAGAATGGATGGTGCAAGGTCTTTAAAAAATCCACAACTTGCCCAATATAATCTCTGTGAAATTAGAAAACTGGGATGGAATTCCCACCTCTATGGATATTTCCCATAATGGTGGAAATGACATTTACCAATTATCAGCTTATTTTATAAGAACCATAAATGTGTTTTGAATAATAAAGAATACCATTCAGAAATAAACACTTTCTGATCCTACACTTCTGGTTGGAGGACTTCAGGGTTAAAAAAAACTAAAACCAAGTTAACATAAATTGACAAATAGAATGTCTCTGACCCAAATAATAAAAAATAGCCCTTGTCCCACATACTTAGGAAATATATGTGGCTCCCTGGTATGCATCAGAGCCTGTAGGCTGGGTGAGTAAATATTTAAGTGTGCATAAACATAACAGTGGCTTCTTTGGGAATTGTAAGTGCGCTGAAACCATAAACATTCAAGGAGATGCAGCTCTGTAAAGGAGAGAGATCCAAGTTGGCATGGCATGAAGCAGGAGGCTTCTTCAGCCTGCACATCCTAAGAATCCTGGAAAGGAGATATTGTGGAAAAAAACGAGGAGACCTGCCAGGTAACTGACTTGGAATATACAGATAAATTCCTTTCTTTATGAGCCTTAAGCTGAAGGTTTAAATACCACAAATTCTTAGAAAGAAATACCACATTCCCGTTAGAGAGGAAGATCTTTCTGTAAGAATTAAGAGAAAGAGAACTACTTTATGTAATAGTCTTATATATTTTATTTATTCCATATAACTTGCTGAAGGTGAAATTATTTCTCACTTACAAGTGAGGGAACTGTGGTCTAGATGGCTTAATTAATTTATCCATAATTGTACAACTTGTAATGGGGCTGGGATTTGAACCTAAACTTTTTGACTTCAGACACCTTTTCCTCTGGCAGTCAACTGTTTCGCATGGCTAGAAGAAGACATATGGGTTTATCTTATGGGGAAAATTACAGGATCACAAGATTCTGTGGTTGAAAGACATATGATTTAGGTATCATGTCATATTCATCTTTAGACACCTTGCAGAGCCTAATATATCATAAGTACTCAATGAAGGCTGGCTGGCTGAATCCCCTTATACCTGGGCTATTCCAATTCCTGTCTTTTCCATAATGAGAGACTATCTCCCAGAGAACAGCAGGCAGTAGCCAATAGTGTGATATTGTATCTCCATCCTCCAGGCAAACGAAAATGAGAAGAAAAGGCTCTTTTAATAATCTGTCACTAATTTTTGAACTACTTCAGGAAGTTAAATACATGTGTAGATTATTATAGCTGTTTTGGCCCTGTGAAGGCATCTCACCACTTGATTTAAGGAGGTGAGATATCCCTGATTTGCAGATGCTTCGGCGCACTAAGTGTAGGGAGTTCTTGTTATTTTAAGGTGCTCCATCTCACTTTCTGCTCTCACCTTTTTTGCAAAGTCCCATATCTAGCATTAGTGCTGGGAAGCTAGTTCTCTTCCCTCTTTAACTCAATTTAATTCTTGCCAAAGAATTAATCTCTTTCCTCTTTAACACAGATTTAATTCTTGCCAAAGCCAGCCCCAAGCTGCCTGACCAATTCTGAAGCCGTCCAAGGTGGACTGCATGTAAGTGGCACCACCCAGGCTGAGGGATCCTCCAGTGCGATTTGGTCAATATTTTTTTCCTAGTCTTGGCATTGTCTAATACAGATGAGGGAAAGGACAGGAACCAAGGCCATCGTTAGAAGATCTCCATCCTCACACTGGCCTCTGCTCCCTGTTGGTAAGCCGGGTGGCAGATCCTGGGGACAGGCTGGCCTCACTGTGCCCGTGCTTGCTCTTGCATGGTCACTTATTGCTTTCTCTCTGACTCCACATGTCCTCGTCATCCTTCTTTCTCCCAGGAGCCTCTGTTTCCTTGCTTGGAATTTGTGTCTGATTCCTGTAGATTTTAGATTATTCTCTCTAGGCCAAAGAGAGTCTTATTTCACAGTTTTTCCAGGAGTGAATTTTTGATTCTGCTCTGGAAGTACTTGAGGAAGGTAATGAATCGCATCTCTCAGTCTTTTTTCTCTTAAAAGTTTCCAAGTCATCAATCTGGGATGCTGTAATTAGTCATTCTTCTTAGTTACTAAGTGGACACTGATATTTGCAAGTAGTAAGTTCATCACATGGCAAAGCCCGTGGGCCAAGTGACGTGAGAACTAATCACATGGCTCTAAACAGCCTCAGCAGCCCAGCTGCCATTTGCTGCTGGACCCTGAGCAGGGGGAGCACATGGCCACAGCTAGAGCTGGCAGGAGTTGGGGTGCTGGTCAGGAATCCTTTCACCATCAAATTCAGGGAAGGAACATATGGAAAAGAGGTATTAAAAAAGCAAATCACTTTTCCAATTCTGGTTAAAGGTAGAGGCTGGAATGTCTTATGGAAAAATGAGAAGGGTCTGTGGGGACTGATGGGCAGTGGGGGGAGGGTGGCTGCCCCACGCAGCCTGATGGCTGTTTGAGCAGAGCAAAAAATAGGCACTACCAGTGTGGAGACACCATGAGGGAGGGCAGGAGAGGCCATTTGGACACGGGCTCAGCAGTAGAATGGCATCCATGTCTAGGAAAGATATCACAACAGTGACCAGAAAAAAGCAGGGGCAAGCCCCTTATGCATTGGTATAAGCCACATTAGAAGCCACCTTAGAAAATCCATTGACCCCTCAACTATAAGGGACCATTGAGGGTTAAGGGTGCTTTAGCTAACAGAAGCTGAAGCAAAAGGCCATTGCTAAACCACAATGAGATCCCACCTCACACCCATCAGGGTGGTCACCACTTTTTTTTTAATCAGTAAATCAAAAAAACACAGAAAATAACATGTGTTGGTGAGGATGTGGAAAAATTGGACCCTTGTGAATGTAAAATGGTACAGTCACTGTGGAAAACAGAAAGGCAGTTCCCTCAAAAAATAAAAAATAGAATTACCATATGATCCAGCAATTTCACTTCTGGCTCTGTCCCCAAAAGAGCTGAAAGTAGGGTCTTGAAGAGATATTTGTACACCCATGCTAATAGCAGCATTATTTACCATGGCAAAAAGGTGAAAGCAACCCAAGCATCCATCAGTGGATATGAATGCACTAACAAAATATGATATTCATGTCCAATGGAGTATGATTAAGTCATAAAAGGAAGGAAATTTTGACATATGCAATAACATGGATAAACCTTCAGGACTTCATGCTAAGGGAAATTGGCTAGTCTCAAAAACATAAATATGATCCGACTTATGTGAGGTACATAGAATGGTGAAATCCCTAGAGACAGAAAGTGAATGGGGCTTGCCAGGACCTGAGAGGCATGAGAAGTGGGAAGGTATGATGTAAGGAGCACAGAGTTTCACTTTTCCCAGATGAAAAGAGCTCTGCAGAGGGATGGTGGTAATAGTTGCACAGCTACATAAATGTACTGAATGCCACTGAACTGTGTGTTTAAAAATTGTGAAGAAGGTAAATTTTATGTTGTCTATATTTTACCACAATTAAAACAAAAGTAAGGCCACTACTTCATTCCCATATTCTACCCTGAACACCTGCACATACACTCCTACCCCTATCTCCACAGCCATACATTTGAGGCCAGCAGACTTGCAGAAAACAGTTCACCTTCCATGTTGCTGAGCTAAGCCTGAAGATCTCCGTTCCTGCGTGACTGAGACTATAAAATAAATTATCATCTAACATTCAGTGCCTGATGGGTGTCGTAAGCCATCTGGCTGGTCAAATAAAAGAACTGGAAGTTAATTTGACTCCCTGTCTCCTGTGTATCTATCACCCATTGGCTGAGTCTTGTTCATTGTGCCTCCCTAATTTTTTAGATCTATCCTTTCCTCTCTATTCATTACTTTAGTCCAAGTCTTTCACTTGGTTTTGGCAACAGCCTCCATTAATCATCTCCCTGCCTCCAGTTTCACTCCTTCTAGACTTATCTTCCCCAGGGCTGCCAAAAGGGTCCTGCAAAAGCAAGTCTGATCACGTCCTGTCTCTCAGAACCTTCCAACCGCATCTGTTGGGCTCCAATGTGCCTCCCTGAGGCTTGCAAGGTTGAAAGGTCCCCCTCCATTCTTGGGATCAGCCTGACTTAGCTTCACCTCCTACCTTCTGCCAATTCCCCACTCCTGCCATATCCCAAGATGGTACCTTCCAGCAATATTAATGATCACCTTTCAAACATGCTGTCTGATGTCTATGATTTTTCACATGCTTTCCCTGGGTCTGGAAATGCTCTTTATACTTGCCAACCTGAAAAAAGCCTAGTTAGCTTTCCAAACTCAACTAAAATCAAAGCCTTCTCTTATCTCTACATCACACCCCCATCACAGCCTGAATAAATTTAAACTCTCCTCCTTTTCTTTAATTTAAACACAATTCTATGCCGGTTCCTGTCACAAGGCATGAAAATTCTCTCTCTTTTTTTTTTTTACATTCCTCATTTCCCTACTGAACTGGAGTTTCCTAAGAGTAAGCCTGCATACTTGGTATATGAGGTTTGCTGAATGAACTCTGTTAAAGAATTCAGCTCACTAAAGTGGTCATGATGATTACATTTGACCACAATTATGAAATTTAATTCTAATAAAATTGTGATCATAAATATGATCCATTTATTAAAATCAAGTGACCATAATTACAAAATTTCAGTCAATCAAGGAATCTACATTTTCAACAAACTCCAGACCCATCCAGTCCTGTTTTTCAGGCATTTATATCAGAATATCAGGATTTCAGGTTTGGGCACCAGTTATTTTTTTAAGTACTCTAACTGGAAGAAAGGACCTCAAAACGACTGGCAGCCAAGTTTACAAAGCTCTGATCTCATCTGTTCACCTATGACTGGGCTGTAACTTCCTATATCCATACCAAGAAGATAGACGTTATTTTTTTATTTTTACTTCTTTTTTCGTTTTAGAATCTTTGGGGACACAATTCTAGAATCTCCCTTGCCTTATAAAATAAGTAAAATCTAGTGTTAAAATAAACATGAAGCTACCATAGCTTTTTTTTTTTTAATTGAAAGAATTGTTTTATAATTTTCAAATGGTTTTGAAGTCCTTTTCTGGGCATCTGATCTTTTATCTCCTGTTTGGCATGCTGTTCTCTAAATTTACTATGTCTTTGAAAAAATAGTTCCAGCATTACTGTTTCCTAAGAAGTCTTGGGGTCATGACATAATGAGCTGGCTAGCCGTGAGTTTATTTTTAGCCTAGAGATTCTGATCCAAGCTGGACCGCAAGTGGTAAATGCCTGATTTCTTTTTCCTGCCCTGACATTTTCCTGTGCTTGTGGGCAAATCGTCCTTCTCAGGGAACATCCCACCTATGAATCTTTGCTTAGCTACAAATATTTCTTAATTCCCCAAGCCAAAGTGGAGCCTTTAATACCCATAGGTAGAAAATACTGAGCAGTCCTTTCAGTATCCTTGTGTTTTGTAAAATGAACAAGGCGATCTGTAGCAGGCCCTCTGGAAGGAACGATGATGAGGAAGGTCACCTGGGACTGTTCTGAGTTTGAAAAACCACACGTAAATGCTAAGTTCTATCATTAATTAAGGAAAACACACTTCATTTCTACAAACAAATTAGTTTTATTTAAAACTGCAGGCTAAAACCAGAATTTGCCCATCTTTTAAAATCATCTGCAATGGAACACAAGCCTGTAACACAGCAGAAGAAATGCTCCTTGACTGCTCATTTGCCCCAAAGTCCACTCACACATTCCTACACAATCTTTCTTGCAGCAAATCCTTGTTTCCACTTCTCCACTGTTTCCCCATTGTTACCATGTTTCTCTACTGTTTCCATTCCTCCACCCACAGCCAATACTCACTCTGTCTACTTACAGGAACCAGCTTAGTTAGCCCTACTCCTTGTTGCCTATGACTGTTATAAGAAATTACCAAAAACAGTGGCTCAAAAACATACAAATTCACAGTTCAGAGGGTCAGAAGCCCAATAGGACTCTTAGGAGGCTAACATCAAATGTCAATAGGGCTGTTTTCCTTCTAGAAGCTTCAGGGAGAATCTATTTCCTTTTATCTACCAGCTTCTGGTGGCTGCCTGCCGGCATTCCTTGGCTCCCCACCCCTTCGTCCATCTTCAAAGCTCATCATTCCAACTTCTGCTCCTGTCATTCTATCTCCTTCTGCCTTTGACTCTCTTACCTCCCTCTTTAAGGAGCCTTGTGATTATATTGGGCATGTCTAGATAATCCAGGATAATCTCTACATCTCAAAATTCTTAGCTTATTACATCAGCAAAGTCCTTTTTTTGACATATAAAGCAAACTATTCCCATATTTCAGGATTAGGATGTGAATGTCTTTGGTGGGAAGAGGCACTATTCTGTCTACAAGATGTCTTGAAGCATTTTAGCCAAGCACGATTCTGATCTCTTCCTCTTCCCACTGTCAAAATATACTGAGTTGGATCGTGCCTTCCACCCCTGCCAGATTCAAGTCCACCCAGAACTTCAGAATGTAACCTTTTTTGGAAATAGGGTCTTTGTAGATCTAATTAGTCAAGATGAGGTCATACTGTATTACATTGGTTCCTAAATCCAAAGGGCCTGGTATCCTTCTAAGAAGGGTGGATTTGACACAGATACACAGGCACCCAGGGAAGAAGGCCAGGTGACGATGGTGGTAGGGACTGGAGGGATGAAGCTGCAAGCCAAGGAAGGCCTAGGGGGGCCAGCAGCTACCTACACTAGAAAGGGGCCAAACAGGATTTTTTCTAAAGACAGGAAGCATGGCCCTGCTGATACTTTGATTTCAGACTTCTGGCCTCCAGAACTGTAGGCAAATAAAATTTGTTGTTTTAAGCCCCTAGTTTGTCATACTTTGTTACTGCAGCCCTAAGAAACTAATACAGATGTACTGGAAGAGAGGCAACCTATTTTGTTCATATGTCAGGTTTTACTAAGAGACAGTTTCACTGACATGTCAGCATACCAGTCCCTAAAAGTTTTGTTTGTTCCATTTATAATATACAAGAATCCTGGTAGGTTACTGGATCTGTACTCGGTGTTTCCCCATTTGAGGACCTCAGACTGTCTTCTAACACAGAGGAGGTCAAGAGCAGCTTAGTCAGGGGGTCAGTAAACAGTTTCTGTAAAGGGACAGATAGCTTATACTTAAGGTGCTGTGGACCAAGGAGCAAGGTCAAGGACAGTATATAGGCACATATCACAAGAAAGAAAACAAATTTCCATATTTCTTTACTGATAAAATTCAAAATATAATAATAATTTAGTACAATTTTTTGTAATATAGTCTATAAGGAGAAGAATGAAATTTTTCCTGGGGTGATAATATTTCGCTCAATTTGGATTCAAATTTAATTGGCCTGTCATCAATACTGATTACTAATGCTCAAATGTTAATGCTGATCTGTAGAAAGATTTTATCTCATTGAGTATTTCAGTTCAAAGATGAGTATTGTATCTTTGAAAATATCTTTTCATACAGAAAAGTACTGCCCAATACTGATAGCAGCTCATGAGTATATGATTTTAATTGAGCATGTTGATCTCTTGAAAGGCATTTATAGAGTTCTATTAAAGTTTTCTGTTGATATTTATCATTTAGCTTATTATTACATTGCAGATTAATTATTTCCAATTGAAAGTTAGGTGAAAGCTCCACAATTAATCAGTTAAATGGATTTGGAAATATGGACATTTTCTTTGCACTTTCATTGAGGTCCAAAAAACGCTGATGGAACTGAAGTTTGATCTCAGAAAATGCATCCACTGCAAATGTGGGTGGAAATAGAGATCTCACTTCTTGTTTTATTTTTTGACACCACTGAAAGAGTACAAAGCACCTTGAGATTCAAATGATGTTAGTTGTGAGAAATGACTTACAGCAGTATTAGTTTCTCATATGAGTGCTGTTTGGCCTTGTAATTTTATGTTCGATTCATTAAGGAACATGAAGCGTGCAGCAAAACTATTTTTCAAAGCCATTCAGTGTTCAATAGCAGTAGTTGAAGCCAGTTCTTCTCACTGAAAAAACTCAACCTTAGCCCCAAGCTCAAAATAATAAGAAACTACCACTGCCATTGAACCATTACGCAGCACAAGTCAAGATATTCAGTTTCTTTTTCTGACAAAAATTCACAGAACCAACTATGGTATGTCCATGAGAGCAAATGAGTTGATCAGTGGAACTACTGGATCTGTAACACATGACAGATTCAAATATTTTTTGCATAGTAACTACAAATGAAAAACCAATAAATTACCACAGGATTTAAATACCTTACCTTTTCTCAAACTTTGTATATTTGCCCAATTAAGCCTTTACTGCTCCACACATATTTTTAACACTATCAATCATAACACATTTTAGCAGATTCCACCTTGTGTTGTACTGAATTACTTTTCTTAAATTCTTTGAAGCTGTTCTCACCTGTAGATTTTCCATGCATACTATTTACAGAAGCTAATTCTTCAGTCACTTCAAACTTGGCAATGACTCCTCAAATCAATAATACCAACTGAGCCCTACCTATCACTAATATCTCTGGGCTCATCAAGGGCCTAGGAAAACCACTCCAAATTATTTGTCTCGTTTTTTAATTGACAAATGATGCTGTTGCCAATGTCTTCAATTTTCTTGAGTAACTTTTCTCACTGAAAGGCTAAGGATGTCAAGTTGGTTTTCTCTGGACACATTTATTTGGCTGTTGCCATCAATCACAATTTAGTTAACTCACCATTGGTAACCAGCT